ATATTCCATATTCAGTGCTGAATAAAATAATAATAATTGGATAATCTCTTGTTAAGCAGAAATGGTTCTTAGAAGGTTTAGTCCAAGTCTGCAAGTTCATCACTAAAATACATCAGTAAAATATAACCTTAGTACCAATGCAATGTCTGAAATTGTATGTACCTGCACCATCAACTTCTCTTTCTTGAGCTTAAGGATGGCATCTAGCCTGGACTATGCATGTGATCCCAACTCTGAAGCCAAAATGATTCTGGAGTACAGAGAAACTGCAGACCCAAATCCGGAAACACAACTCATATTTGAGACCCTCTTTAGCATTAGTCAGTTAAGCTTGTCCCATAGTTTGTTTCATGGTCATTGCTTAAAAGAAGTATATGGATTATTTTGCCCCTTCAGAAGAGCTAGGTCTCACCTATCATCTTTATTTCTTATTACAATGTACAGTTCAGCACTGTCAATCATTAACTACAGTTGTATGGTATATATTACTTCTGTTCAAATCCATACAAAGGTTATTTTTTGTGTCTATAACCGAATTGATACAGAACAGTTCTCAGCAGGAAGCTTCTCTGTATGGCATATACTTTGTACTTGGAGAGACATTAGTTGCACAGCTGTCTTCAGAGCAGTACATGCATTTACCTGACCTAATGAGTTTATTTCCCTGAGAAAAGCAAAAATGGTAACTGACGGACTTACAATATATTGTTGAAGATATATAAGACTCTGTACTAGATTTCTACTTGCTAGTAGACCATAAAGAATATTATATCTTTACAAAAGTAGATCTCTATAGATTTCAAAAGTAAGTATATAGATTTTTCTATACCAGCATAGAAAATAATGCCAAACCATTAGAGAACAACCACAAGAATAGACTCTAAAGAGCAGAGAGAAGGATGTTTACCAGTACTGAGAAAGTGGGATAAAGTATAAGAAGGCTTAGGCCTTATCCTATAAACCACTTATTTGTGTGCTTCATATATTACATTCATAAAAGATCACCTGAACTGTGGAATATCTCCTCCTCATCAACATGCAAGAGACCATCCAAAGAGTACCGAATTCCTCACATCCTTTCTGCATGGGGAGAGATGATCTGGGGAACAGATCTTTATTGGATAAACAGGCCACGGCTGTGCACTGTTTCCTAAAAAGTCCAATATTTCCAAATAAGGAACTGCTGAAGGAGCCATGGACACAGTACCATGTTGTTCTTGCCTGGTGCTGCTTATTCAGCAGTGCCTGCTGGAGGAGAGGGAGGGCGGCATCACCCATTGTAGCATTTGGCAATCTATGCACCAGAAAACAATCTGGAGGGAACTCCTGTATTAGCAGGGTGCATCTCAGAGGCAGGAGAGTCCAGACGAGGATGTACAAAGACTACATGTGACAGAAGGAAGCTTGGGCTGAGACCTGCAGAGCTTCAGGAACGAAACCCCTGTGTCACGGGGGGTTGATGCCTGTTTGGAAGAGGAACTGGAGATGTGACATTGAAGCGTCATCTCCCACGCCGTCCTGTTCTGGGTTCTGACAGCCACCCCGAAGTCTCCTTTCCCCAGCGGGAGCCGAGCGCTGCCCGGCAGCCACCACAGGGTGTCACCCTCGGCCCGGGCGACACCACGTCCCGGGCAGCAGCTTCGCGGGGACCCGGCGGGAGGCGGCCCTGCCTGGGGCCGGAGATCCCGCGGCCCGGAGCGGGCACTGTCGGGGGAAGAGCGCAAGGGGACCCTGCCGAGCCTCTGCACTGGACAGTGCGTTCTGTCGTACCGCTCAGAGGTCTCCACTCTTTCTCTTTTCCTCTTTTCTTTCACTCCAATATATGGAGCAGGAGGAAAGTCCCGAATAAACAACAGAGCCCTGCTTTCTCTCCGGGGCTTGCAAACATCCGAAGCTGGAAAACTCATTTCACACAGCTGCAGGGGACAAAATAGATACGCATAAGGACTATATGCTGTCACTGCAGTGCCCGTACCTGTACAGGAAAGCCATAAGCTACCAAATTTCAGTCTCGCAAAGCAGAGAACTTTCATTCAGAGCCTGACCTGACACTAAAGCAATCTTCTGGACAAATTGTGTCTGACTCAACATACAAATGCAGTAAATATCTGTATTAATTTTTTGAAGTTTTCTTTTTCAAATAGCAAGTTTTTTTCTTTTTTTTTTCAACCCTAATTTTTTTGAAAGTTTTGGAACCTTTTTGCAGAAACTTTCCATAGACAGCATGTTCTAGACAGCATGGAAAATTTTAGCCCTCTCTTTGTTGGTCTTGATAGCAGAGTTTCAAATGTGGGGAGTGTCAGAAACCATCTTTACTGTAAGCCACCTCACTAGCTCTGCTGGGGTAGAGCCACATGGTATCACATAAACATCTGTAGATGTGGTACTGCAGTTACATAAAAGCATAATGTTGTGCAGTATTTCGTTTCACTTTTAGAAGAGTCCAGATGGGCCTGGATTCATCTTACCTACCTTTAGGTGACCCAGGTAGGATGCCAAATTAGGACCACTAGCCAAAGCTCTTTTCTGAGCAGCCTTCCTCATTTTTATCAGCTACCTGTAGAAACGTTTCACTGGAGGCGCAAGGCTGTACAAGAGTCTTGGTTTTTTTTCATTAATTTCTCCCATCTGTTTATGAGAAGTGTACACAGGGTGGGCATAGAGTACTTCTGAAGAACCTTTTGGGGGAGACACACAGGTATCTCCTACTTAACTTCTTTATGATACAGACTGTCCTCCAGCATGTTGAATATAAGGAGCACAAGAAAAATAGTCACTAAGAAGCTTCTCTTATCTTTGTAAGGTTCGTGAAATGGTACATGGCTTATGGTAACAGAGATAATTAATACAGACTAAACCACGCGAGATGCCTGCATGTACATGTTTAAATGTTTATGCATGTATTATCAATATACTCCATATAAGGGGCATATGAGAGCTGAGGCATGCTCACCATACAGAATACAAGTTCTGTTGAGTTGACTACTCTAAGTAAAGCTATCCAAGCTGGGGGCAGCTACAGCATTGCTACCAGCAGAAAATGTGGGTGATTACTTCCGTGCTAGAAATGGGTGAAATTACACCACAGATTCAGCTCTTAGTCAAAATAACACATAACACCTATGTCAGCTGCGATTTCAGGAGTCCTAGCCCTTTGCTTCTCAGTCCAGTGACTTTTCTCTAAAGGGAATATAGACCTTATAGACACAGAATTCCATAAACCAAACAAAACTACAAGCAAACAAACCCAAAACCCATCTGACTTCCACAGGCTCTTTCCCTACAGGCATGACCGTAATACATCAAAATCAGGGAGATTAAAATCATGGACAACTTTTTCCCCTTTTCTACACTAAAACAATTGAGGCAGCATGTGTTGAATATTCATTGCTAGCAGTTGCAGACTTCTGCAGAATGCAGTAGCTGCATAATGAGCCTACACATGGTAGAACAGTTAAAATTAAAATCTGACATGGTTTTTTCCGAGTAACCCATTAAAGTAATACCCTACATCTTGGCAAATATGAAAAGCACCTGATGTACACCTTTGAGTCAATGACACTTCATACTTCTTCATTAATAATGATTCCAGTGGGGTTTTTTTCTTAAAAATGATAGACAGTATTTAATGCTTTTTCACCCTAGGGTTGTAGTTCTCTGCTTCTGTTATCTGCAAGTAGCACCCTGCTCATGCCTGGGAAACGGTGAGACAAAGATAATGAGTATTGCACAACTTCTTTGCTTAGCAAGCATAGTTTCACTTTCTACAGAGACAAATGAGTACTATATATTTTAACATCTCTAGTCTACAAGTCATTGGCACTAAAGATGTTTCAGGAACATTATAGCAGTGGAAGACTTTGCAAAGCCTGTCAATACACCATTGAAAGAGTTGTGGAATGCATGAATTTGGGAGTTTGTTGGGAGTTTGAGGTGGCTGCATCTCTTTCAGATACTAAAGTGATCTGAGAGAGGTTTCTTGCCTAGTATAAATTAGCATTTTTAGCTCCAAGTGTGGTCTCCCAGACAGAGTTTATAGCAGAAGCCATACACGTTTGTCTGTTCCTACATCGAACAGATAATAAAAGATGGAAAATTACTGCATACTTTTATCTCAAACGTAATGAACAGAAATACCACTCCTATTAAGAGATTTGCTACACTGCTGTTATCGCAGCAGCCTGAGTAACAGTTGACTGACCAGCTTTTCTCAGCAATTGCTCATCTTGAATCTCTGAATTGCTAAGACCACCAACTGCAGTACCCAGTGGAGCTGTAAATAACGGGAGCTGTAAATAAGGTGTAGACGCCCACTCCCTCAGAGAAAAAAAGCCATCCATCACCACACAAAAGAAACGGAATGGAATCATCCAGAAGTGATTATCTTACTTCTTGACCAGAAGTCCCTCTTGCAGGCCACCTGGTAGTAGTACACAGTAATAAAAAACTATTTAACAGCTCAGTTTTAGAGGAATAGTCATCAGCAAGTATATGATTAGTTGGTGAAACCCACTTCCTGAATACAGATTTTGGAACACTGGTAAACTCAGGGTGCATTCCACTGCGCCATATCACAGCAGCAATTCTGATGCTCAAGGACTCCCAGTTAGAGACTATTTCCATCAGCTTCATGACAACCTGCTTCTAGCATATGTATGCAGCATAACCAGTGCTAAACCAGCTGCTGTTACCTAAGGACTTAATTCAAGTGTAGTTATGTTTTGCCCACACCAGAGAGCAGTACCTTCATTTTGCTAGAGAAACTCAGTTTGAGGAAGTGTGAGCATTTGCACCATGTAAGAGCATCCACATCAATACACACCCACTCTAACAACCACAGTTAGAAAACCAAGTACTTTGCCAAGTTGTATCCATGGTAAGACTTCTACGGGTACAGTTTGATGGAATAACCATCACACACCTAAGCAAAATTATCTTAGTTTAATTTTTTTTAAGCTGGCTAAAGCCTTTGTTTTAAAACAAGACAGAGCTAATGGAAGTATTTTTCAGGATTTTACTGCAAACCAATGGGTTTGGTCACAAAAAATATGATACATATAACCATGTTAATTATATTACATTACAATGATGGTATACATTACAAGTAAGTCTGTGAGTTTAAATATACATCTAGAGTTACAACTGAATGTACATATCTTTTTTACAATACATACAGTCAGGAATGAAAATCCCTCAAACCCCAAAACCATAAATAATGCCCGTTTTACAGATGATATCTTTTAAACTAAAAGAGGGGGGAGAAAAAAAAGGGTAAAAAAAAAAAAGAAACCAACAGCTTTGACTGACTGCAGCTGGGGCATTTTGGTCCATAAAAACCCTTTCTAAAAATAGAAATCTTTTTTCATAGCAGCAATGCTTTCTTCAAGCATTTGGATACAAGTAATTGTGAGCCCATCTCAATAATTTTAGTTGACTGTATAGATTTACAAAAGAAATTTCAAAATTACACTTAATTTATCTTCCAAATATGGAAGAAACAAACAATGCCCCACATTGTGGTATCCTGCAAGTGTCACACTGATGCTTTAAACTAAGTCCATCTGTAGCACGCAGACCTCACGCATACCATTTGTTCACATAGTAAACCCACATAAATGAACTGAGAAACACACTCTGCAACAGGGAAAGCTTTGGAGCTCACAAGATCTCATCAGAAAAAAAAAGGCACATTTCATAAAATCCTTATCACGTTCAGATAGATCTTCAGGCAAGGCTTTTCAAGCACGATTTCAAAACAGCTTGTTCTTACTCCTACAATCTGCCATAGCGGTCTATGGCAGCAGTTGCTACGGTTTTTCTTTCCAGGGAGACAGCACCACTTTGGGGGAAGAACAAATGGAAATGAAAAGCCTGTAAAGCTCATTTAGAGAGTGATGTGCTCTTCAAAAAAGCTTCCAGCAAACAGTGTAGTTGAAATTAAGGCTGCAAAGCTGCCACAGTGGAAATGTGCAAATTCTCTTTCAAGATGACTGGTCAACTGGCAGTTCCACCAGAAGGCCAAACAAAAAATAAAAATAATAGTTGTTATTATTATTAAAAAAGAAAGAAAGAAAAATGTTCACAAGAAAGAGTCCACGGGTGGGGCATATGAGAAGCCCAAAAAAGCCTCAGCGGCTTCTTTGACACTGGCAGTGATGAGGATGCTGTCTGGGGACTGGCCAATGGAGTTGGGGACTGGCTCATCTGTGAACTCCGGATCAAAGTGTCGCAGATCACTAGGGCCGCTCTGTGGAAAGGGCAGAAAAGGAATTTAGACCCAAATGTTTTGTGAGTGCACACATAAATTCAATGTGGAGACAAGCACCCTTGTGCAGAGACTCATAGTGTTATCACCTCAGTCCTACTGTTCAACAGTCTTTGACTGTTTTAGTTTGACCTTTGGGGTTTTCTATCCTGCTGAATATTGTCTTACTAAAAACAAGATGATTCAATTTAGTATGCTACACTCCAACTAAGCTCATGCAACAGAAACCAAATGCAAACATGCCTCTCTGCTACACAGCAATTTATGAAGCAGGACTTTGATCTCTGGGCTAGTTATTAAATGCAGTTTCTAAAACGCTCAGAAAACGAAAGAACAACCTCCATAACCAGATTGCTCTCTTTCAATGTTAGTATCTGACAAGCCAAACGTAACTCTGCCCTTGGGAACCTTGCCTTCCCCTTTGGTAAAACGGGGATGCTGGTGATTATTTATAAATTGCCATGCAAATGAAGCACGAGACACCAAAAAAACCAACTAAATTTAGCTTGACCATCAGCAAGAAGTCAGTCACCACTTATTTTTAACCTTGTTTGGACAGACACAGAGGAAAAATTGTGTTCCCCAAACACAGCCATCCAGCCACTTCCTCCCGGCCCCTGGGCACCCCACAAAGGCAAGCGGGAAAAAGACAATCTCCATACATTCTATAATTAGAAGTGATACGTACCACATTTGGGTTAAAAGGGGGTGTAATCTTCTTATTAATGAGATCATCCCAGTTAATTGGGGAGAAGAAGATGTGATTCTTAATCTCCATCTGTTACAGAGAGAAAAATAGATTAATTCAGACCCATGTAAACAGTATGGCCTAGTCATCCTCCCGCACTGCCTGCAGGCGCTGGCCAGTTTGCACTTACAAAGTCCTCCTTGGCGCCAAGCCTCTTTGTCCTATCCTTCTGCAAGAGGCCTTCCAGGAGATGTCTAGCTGAGTTGGTAATATTTGGCTTCAGCTGCAGGGGTTTGTTCAAGATATTGTCGTACATTTCTGCTGTGTTCCTGCTGTAGAAGGGTGGCTGTGGGAAAGAGAAAGAAGTTAATGAGGCTGACAGGCGGGCACAGGGTTTCTTGTGGGGAAAGGTTGAGTAAGCTAGTTTATCTGTCGTAAAGGATTCTTTGCTTACCAAACCATAAAGCATCTCATACAGGACTGCTCCAAGGCACCACCAATCCACAGTCCGGTCATAGGGCTGCTTATGGAGAACTTCAGGAGCAAGATACTGTGAAAGAGAAGGGAAAGGGCAATGTTAGCCAAAGGGATCTTTACAGTTAGGAAAGCCTCCCCATTCTTGAATAAAAGCATCTTACTGAATTCCAACAATATCTAAGTTAAAGGAAAGCTACAAGATCTTTATAAACAGGGAGATGGCTTGAGAGCCCTGATCCTGCTCAACAAGCTCTACATGTCCTACACGTCCTCACTGGTAGCCTTATATTACAAGGCCTGTAATAGCCCCTGCTGTATCTAACCAGCCATACATATACATGGCAGGTACCAGATTTCACTGATGACAACAGCACTTGCTGTTGCTCTGCAAGCGGTGGGCTGAGGGTTGGCTGTACCTCTGGTGTGCCGCAGAAGGTGGAGGTCGTGCCATTGTGCTCTATGTTTTCTTTGCAGAGTCCAAAGTCAGTCAAGACAATGTGCCCCTGTGAATCGAGCAGGATGTTCTCTGGCTTCAAGTCTCTGCAAGAAGAGATGAAAGAAGACAAGTGGTCATTAGAGAAGATGTAGTGAGAAGATTTTAGGTGCAACTGTTTACAGAACTTCACTAAGCCACCACAGAATATTAAAAGTAATTCTGACCTCATACTGAGATCAACTTTGTAATGCTTATTCAACAAACCACATGTTTTTTTCAGTACAAAGTGAAAAAGGCTGCTTACCGGTACACAATGTTCAGGGAATGCAGATAGCCCAGTGCACTGGCAATTTCAGCAGCATAAAATCGGGCTCTCGGTTCCAGGAAGCAACGCTCCCTCTGGAGGTGGTAGAACAACTACAGGAGACAGAGAGAACAAAGTTGTGTAAACAGCCCCAAAGCCTGTTAACAATGCACTTAATTAGACTCAACATATATAGCAAGGGAGAACAATAGCAGGAAATGGCCTAATGATCCTTGGTAGTTCAAAACTTGGCAGGCAGAAACATTCAATCTACTAAATTTTGCCCCGTGACTCTTCCCCTTGCAACTTTTTTTATTTAAAAGAAGGAGTGAAAATGCCTACCCTACCATCATGCACATGATAGGAAATACTATTCAATTTTCTTACTGCTTACCTCTCCACCATTGATGTAGTCCAGGACAAAATACAATTTATCTGCAGTTTGGAAGGAAAAGTGAAGCCCGACCAGGAAGGGGTGTTTCACATTTTTCAGCAAGACATTGCGTTCTGACATAATGTGCTTCTCCTGAAAACATAAGAAATAATTAACATTTAGCACACTTGCTTAGTAATAGCAGTAAAAATGTATTTGATGGACATTGCAATGGCATCATGAAGGGTAGCTTACCTCCTTCTTCTTCAGGATTGCTTTTTTCTGCAGGACTTTAACAGCATAGAACTGCTCTTCTGCCTTATGCCGTGCAAGGAGGACCTAAAAGTGCATAAAATTCCCAAACTGAGCAATACTGAAATACAGAAAAACTTTCAAACACAACCTGCAACAAGCCTTTATGTTAAATGCTGAGGACTGCCACATCCCTCTGGTTCAATGTGCAAGCTCTTTGCTGGAAATGCCTAACAGTGTTACCATTCTGGCAAAATAATCTAGCCCAAAGATTTTATGTTGTTTCTTTCCCTTCCAAAAGCAAAGTATATGTATTTCCCCCAGTATCAGTGCACTGCACTCCCCAGCTCTTCTATGACTCATTCAAATGCAGCATCCCTGCTCCCTCTCCCTCTCCAGCTATGCTGAGAACCAGGCACTGGGCAGCAGGACGTACTCTGATTTGGTTTAAATGACCACCATTCACTAAAAGCCAGTAAGAACCCCAGTATCTAGTATTTCATAGAAGAGTTGAAGAATAAATAAATTACAATGGAAAAAAGTTAAGCTTACCTTCCCAAAACTGCCTTTTCCAATCACTTTTAAGAAATGAAAGTCTGATGGTTTGGCATGTGGGTTGGATGATGGGCCAAGATTGATCTGCTGTGAAGGACTGGGCTAGAAAAATAGACAAATCACATTTATTAAAACAGTTCGGCAGTGAGTCTCAACAATGTATCTTTTCAAAAAAATATATAAATAAAGTGACCTTGAAAATGAAGATTAGCCCTCTTCTTGCCACTAAAACTTTAATATTGACCTCTACCAGATATCTTAAACTATTAGGTAGTGCCTAAGAAGAGCCTAACAGCCATAGCTTACTGAAAAGTTCTTGCTGAAGTCTTAGGCACATTTCATACTGAAGTAACAAATAATAAAGCTTTTTTAAAATTTTTTCTCCATGTTTGGAACAGAAAAACTTTCAGGCTAACCTGATTACTCTTTCCTATTTACATCAGTATGCTATGAGCTGAACTAAAGTAATACCCATGATGCTTATTTTGCCATACTGCTATTACTGGCCGACTTGACGTTCTAAAAATGTCTGAGTAAAATCTACTTACCGGAGGAGAAGGATTAGCATTCATAAGTTCAGGCTCATGAGGCTGGGAGATTTTCAAGATAGACTGAACTTCAGGGCTGAAAGGATAAGAGTGCACATGATTACGAGAGTTACCAGAGGCAGCAGGCATATCTTTCCACCAGAGGGCAAGCACGCATCACGAAAGAGAAGTTTTGGTTGAGCCGACTACAGAAGGCAACTAAAACAATCTAATCGATTAAAGGTGTAAAATTAATCTAGAGAAAGTAAATCCCGTCAAACAAAGAAATTTACTTATATTTTAAATACATTACAAAATAGGGACGGGTCACTAAAAATCTCCTTTGACGTATTTGTCCCAAATCTAGCCCGCAAAGATCGTTGCCGAGTGAGTAATACCTCAACAAGACCAATTAACTCTTCCATAACAGTCATGCCGGAGGCATTACCGTAAACAAACATTATTTTTAAACTAGACCTCGCACTACGTAATGATATTTGTGACTAAAATCCGCCCAAAATTCCTGATACTTACTGCTTGCATGCATAGGAGTTGGTGGCTATCTTCTGAATGAAGTCGTTTAGTCCCATTCTTCTCTGCTTCATGAAAGCTACAAGGAAAAAGGACAAGGAAAGGAAAAACAAAATCGTTAAGCCACCCTATCAGAAAAATCACAGTCCCTTGAGCATCTTCGAAGAAGCCCCCGCTGCTCACCGATGAGGAGAGCCACCATCCCCCTCATCTTCGAGTAAGTCAAGGTAGGACCAGACGCCTCGGCTGCTTTCACGGTCATTTTAGAGAGAGAGGCGGATAAACTGCAATGGTACGATACCACCGGCTCCCAGCACCGCACTGACTTAGCGAAGCACCCGACGGCGTTTAAGTGGCGGCGGTGATGGGCGGGACGGGGCGGGGCAGCGACGATTGCTCCCCCCTTCAACGTCCTTGGGGGGGCAGCCACTGGCCGCCTCCGAGGACGTCGGGGGAGGGGGGGAGAGGCGGTGGTCGGGGAAGGCAATTGTCGCTGCCTTTGCTACCTCCCTGCCTTAGGTGCAACCCTCAGGGGACGCCGCTACAGCACCCTCACCGTGCAAAGCATCCACGGGTGAACGTATCAGATATTTTATTTTTTTTTTTCGGACAGCTAACTTCGTAGCCCCATATCTCTCTCTCTCTCTCCCCTCCCCCCCCCCGCTTTTCTTTTGTATCCTGGCCCCACTTATTTTTGCGGTTATATAAAGTTTAAAATCTGGCTCTGTCCTGGACGAGCACCTCTTCCTAAAGTGTGGGTGTACCCCCCCATCCCGCAGCCTGCATCCGCTCCCGGTCCCGCCGCCCGGGGTGAGCGGCGATAAGGGACGCTGACGTTTCCTTGAAGGAGCTGCAGTGACTCAGAAGAACAAAATTTCCTGCCCGGTATTCAATAAAACAAACAAATGTCCCTTCTGTGCACTGCCCTAATCCTGGCTGGGACATTACTGATAGGGAAAAGGAAAAAAAAGTATTTTTAAATGCCAAAAAGGGAAATAATAGAAAATAAAATCTGTCCCCTTAACTTGGAGGAGAGCGCAGAGATCTGCTTCTAGAAAAGGTGGGGATATGCCCGAGGGCTGGACAAGTGCAGTTACGGAGAAAAAAAGAAAAAAGAGAAACAGCTCAGCTACGCAGATTTTGTTTCTACTGTAAGCGGTTATTTGGGAACACCGTGTACCCAGGATTTAATGGCTCAGTCGCTGCCTTGCGGGTGCACCGGGGGCACGTCAGGAGCGCTGGTGCATGCACGAAGGCCAAGGTTAAAGGTGCAGCCGGGGACCTCCTCCCGGGGGGCGCGGGAAGGCACAGCGAGGGATATCACAGCCTCCAGCTACTCTCCCCTGCCGGGGCGCATTCCCGTTCGCAGCCCTGGCAGGGGTCAGGCGCGGTCGGGGGTTGCCGGGCTCCTGAGCCCTACAGGCGGCTGGAACTTTCCACCCGACGGGACGTTATTCATGCGCGTGTTTAGCCTCGCTGTCTGAGCGATGGGCGCTGGGCTGCGGCCAGCG